TGTTTTCTGAGATTGGCAAGTCAGTTAAATAACTACTTTGTGATCCATCTTACATTTTAATAATGATCTGTTGCGGGGCTACAAAACTATGGGATTTCAAACATGTCTCCATGGACAGTTTGCTGGGTAGTTGGATGGCTGTACAGATGTGTGGCGATTAGCTTATGAATGTGTGAAAGTCTTGCTCTCTGACCACAGTCTGCATGGCTCCATGACTAGGTATTTGAGAACTTGGAAAACCTTCCCTTTGCTTTCCTATGAGTTATATCATCACTTCCTCCAAACATTCTGAAGTGGATTGTATTTTCCAAAGGGGAGCCACTGGCATTGGTGTGACTACAGCACACACTGCTAACATTATGTATCCCTATGCTTGCTCAAGGGCAGTATGGTTCCCTTGTCACAAAGAAAACCAAGAATGTCCCCGTCCTTTTCCAAAATCCTCCTCTGTTAAGTTGATAATGAGCACAAGGGGAATAAAACTGAGCACAGAGGAGAAGTTGAAAGAAAAGCTACAAATAAGTCACGTTCATCAAAAGCACCTCATAGCTTCTGAGGAATCATGGAGATCAAACTCTGAAATTTTTAGGAGGTCATCAAGACAGGAGTTTCAAGGCCCTGCCTGAATTCTCACAGTTTATCAACAACAGAACAAAAACCAGAACACATTTCTGATCTGTACACCGACTGGAAATTTGTCTTTTGTAAAATGAATACTTGTGTATTCTACTTACTGCGGGCCTGCCACTCTTCTACCTGTATAACAAAACCCACTTGGATACTTGTGATAACCTACGAGGTCAGTCACCCGCACCTTGCAGATGATGCTGCACAGCTGGTAAGGCAAAAGCTTTCTTTGTCCCATAGTGTTTTTAAAATAATACCTGCCCTCCTCAACACTGAGGTGCAGATGAATGATGTAATGTACGTCAAGGACTCAGTAAGTGCTTCATCAGTGCCAGCTATCATCATGACTGCATGACATGTCCTCCTGGTGCCCCCTCCCCCCTGCCAAAATTCTCCCTTGCATCTAGCATGGGGATTCATCTCCTTTCAGTTGTCCTCCATTGATCACCAGAGCAAGTTCTCCATTGTTTGCCTTTGAATTAAATGACCACACGGTCAGTGCAGGATGAGGACATGTCCTGAGGAAAGGTCGTCTTTGTCCACTATCTTTTAATGACTCAGAGTTTAAGCTTCTACCACCCCACTTCTTGCTTGCTTCTTAGAGTGCACTTGCTTTTTTCTGGAACCTTTGTTTCTGCCAGGCTCCGATCTTGAAATGCTGCAGGCCTGCCCTTGGTTGTTTTGTTAYAGCGAGTGGAGAACAAGAGGGACAGGTGACGGATAAAAAGGAGAGAGATAAATATGCACACTTGACAAAGCATCAGAGAGCCCTGCTTCCTTATTTTGATTCCAGAGACCTTCTTGATTCAGGATTAAAATGAAGATGTGTGGGTGGAAAGGGGACCTGAAGGCAGATACCCTGTACTGGAATGGACAGGGTCACTAGTAAGGATAGTTTCCCAGGGCCAGTATGTTGGGGAGAGGGAAATAGAAAATCTTTCAGGACAACAGTAAAATCACTATTTTTTAAAAATTATTTAAATAAATATATTTGAATGCATCTCTGGGTTGTTGAATTTTTTCAAATCCAATGAACACATTAATCATTAATTAGGTGCTTGTGCCTCTTTGAAAGCCTGGTAATAATCCTCTTAAAAGGAAATTGTACCTATTTAATTTCTTTGTGTGTAATGCTGAATACAGCATCTAAACTGGATTTCTAATCCACAGTGCCCAAAGTGACTTAATGTGGTACAAAGGACACATTAGCATACTTTAAATCTAAATGGATTCTCAAAATACACACCTTCCTGTTTAATTCTCATGATTGACTCATAAGACAAATGAGGAAATTAATTCTAATAACAGGTGAAATGTAGTCTTTTGCCTTCGTGGATTACTTAAGTCCACCATTATGCCCCAATGGTTCTGTGTTTACTTTGTTAGAGGTAACTTTTAATTTTGTTTGCTGCAGGTTTTGCTTTTGCATGATAAAGAAATAGATATTGTTGAAGGGCTTAAGAGACTAAGAAAGCCCAAATATAAATGGGACTTTCAGGGCAGTATTCTCACCGTTTACCCTGAATGGAGTGAATTTTGGGGAGCAATTTCAAAATGCTAACCTAGGCAACAGGGACTGAGCCCTAGGCCAGCTTACAGTCTAGAGCAGTGCTGTCCAGCAGAACTCTCTGTGATGATGGAATATTCTGTTTTTTTTCCACTATCCAGTACAATATCTGGGGTCTATGGATCACTTAAACAGAACTTGTGCTGCTGAGGAAATGAGTTTTTCATATTACTTATTGTTAGTTTAAATTTACATAGCCCAATTGTGGCTAGTGACAATCATATCAACACAAGTAGAAGAAGAGACAGACAACAAACTGATTCACACAATTCATTACTTGTAATTGCTGTAAATGCCATACAAAGGAAGAGTTCCACTTTCCAGGTATTGAAGGACAGCCATTGTGATTGGCACCTCATGATAGCAGTGAGGAAAGGAGCAAGGACTAGGGCCAAGGTGAAGCTGAATCACACAGGATGCTTGTGTCATGATAACATGGACTTATCCTAATAGTAATGAAAAGCTTTAGAAAGGTTTTAGGCAGGAAAGTGCCTTGATCCAGTTTTATTACATCTTTAAAAAATGTTATAAATTTATACTCGCACAAACCAAAAATATCCTCGAGTAGCTTCCTGGGTAGGAGGTGACATATTTTGAGACTTTGCATTTCAAAATTTTCTTCATGCCTTGTACATTTCACTGGTGTTTTGGCTGGGTATAAAAGTCTAGAATGAAACTTATGTTTCCTTAGAGTTCTAAAGGTATGGTTTCATTTCTTCTGCATTCCAATGTTATCATTAACAAGTCTGATCTCATTCTGATTCTTAATTCTTTGTATGAAGTTTATCCTTCCATGTTCCCATCCCCTGCTCTGTCTCCATGAGCATTAAAAGAAATCTAATAGCCTTCAATTATGGAAACATTTGTCTTAAGAAAATTAGAGTACTAGTCTAGGAGAAAAAATAACTTACATTTGCTCTCCTATTTGGGGGGAGGCTTCCTCAACATTATCTCTTAAACTTTGTTAAATTTTTCATTTCTCCTTTACAATTCTTTTTTTTTAAATAATACAATTTATTTGGACAGTTTTAGGTTAACATATGAATTGAATAGATAGTACATTTGGACAGTTTTAGATTAACATACAAATCTTCAGTACTATCTTCAGTAATTTACAACTCTCTTTTGGAATTCCTTTTTATACCATCCCATTCTCATTTTTCAAGAAGCATTGTGTTTGATGTATTCTATGTCAATCAATGGAAGGGTAACTGATGTGATACAGCAATCTGTATACGGGATAAAATTGGGAGTTCATAACTCATTTGAATCAAACTGTGAAATATGATGTATGAGGAACTATGTAATGTTTTGAACGACCAACAATAAAAAAAAAAAAAAAAGAAGCATTGTGTTTCTGATGATCATATCAATTAGATTTTCCTTATGGTGTTTGTTTCTTCATTTCCCCCCTTTTGTTTTTCTGTTTTTCTTTTATTTGGAGGCTTTCCTCAAACATCTGGTGGCCTTGACTGTTTTATCATATTTAAGGAGAGAACACTAAGATGTTGGTCAGAAGGTCTGGTATGAGGTTGGGACTGGAAATCTGTTTTCTTCACTGCAGGGTATCTGCTGGTTCATTCCTTTCAGGAAACTTGATGTCTGTTGTTTTAGGCCTTTGGAGATGGGGCGATTTGATTCCACGGAGAAGACTCTTCCAGTTTCCTACCCGGAGGGTGTGTGACTAGTATCTGAATATTAGAAAACTAGTATCTAAATATTCCATACAGTGGTCCTGAACTCAATTGCTCAATTGCTCTAAGTGATTCTCATTTCAGAAACTGTGACCAAAAAACAAAACTGAGTTCTTTAAGGATGGAGGAAGGGCAGTCATTCAGATCCTCTGAGTTGGGAAGAGAATATGAAGTTCTAACTGCTATCTAAGCAGATTTTGCACAAATCCTTTCTCTCTCTTCTTCCAAAAATATCTAGTGCCTCCGATTCCYGAGTTCCTTGGGGACATAGGGATATAAACTATGTCACTTCTCTCCCCTTTTCTGCTTGGATTCAGCTTTCAAAGCACTATCTCATCTCCTTTCTGGCTTCCAAAACTGTGTAGCCTCTCTTCTCTTTGTCCTTGTGGGTTTATGCCTTTGAAAGTTTTTCTATATTTTGTTTTAGTGGGATTTGAGAAACAAAACTAGTTGCATTTGCAATTATAAAATTTGTCATTTCAGAACTGGAATTCAATGAGTCCATTTAAAAATTAAAAAACCTCATTTTTAATTGTTTAAAAAATGGATTTGCTGGTTCTTGGTGGTTTTCTTTTTTTTATACATATATTTATTTATTTTAGTTGTAGTTGGACACAATACCTTTTTTTATCTATTCATATGTGGTGCTGAGGGTCGAATTCAGGGCCTCACATGTGCTAGGCAAGCGTTCTCTACCACTGAACCACAACCCCAGCCCCTGCTTAAATGTATTTTTCTACAAAATTCAAGTCCTAACTCCCAGTACCTGTGAGTATGACCTTATTTGGAAACAGGGTCTTTGCAGATGTAATCAAGTTAAAATGAGGTCATACTGGATTAGGTGAGCCTTAAACAGATGACTCATGTTCTTATAAGAAAAATGAAATTTGTACACAGAGGGGAGACAGTCTTGTGAAAATGGAGGCGGAGGTTTGAATGATACATCTACAAACCGAGGATTGCTGGCAACATGAAAAACTAGAAAAGAGGCAGCACACTTCCTATCTTGCCCACCTCTGTTCAGCCCTCCTGTTAGGGTGGCACCTGGAGAACTCAGGAGACCCAGGCAAGACAAGCTTCCTTTAAGTATCCCAACCTAGACTTCACACAAGAAAAGCACAGAAAAGTAAAATTTGTCAGAAAAGTAAATTTGTCAGTGAGTCTGCCTGAATTACCTGAGCACTATTCTCAAGTTTGGGTTCTGTATCAGCTGTGCTGCAGCCTTTTCCTGGGAATTGTTAGTCCAGGATTTTTTTTAAAAATTATATATTCATAAATTGCTGTTATATAGCAAACCATCCCAAACTGCTTATATTCCAGTTTTTCTTAAAGAACTTTGTTTTTACTTTGTTTAAAAATTTTAATTGACATAAAATTTGTGCCTATTTATGGGGTACAGTCACTAAGGGTAATTAGCATTTCCATCCTATTAAAGTCCAGGTTCTTTTCAGTATAAATGACTAAGCTTTCCTTTGCATCCAACTTCTGCCATCTTAGACCTCTCCTTAGAACTCTGCTCTTGTCTGCTTCTGCTTCTACATGGGACAGTATATAGTTCAAGACAACTTTTCTAGATTGAATTTTAAATAATTTTCTGCTAGTTTTGGCATGTTGATATTTTTCTGTTTTCTTGGAGGCTGGATCTAGAGATTGAACCCAGAGGCTATTAGCCACTGAACCACATCCCCAGCCTTTGTATATTTTATTTTGAGACAGGGTCTTACTAAGTTGCTTAGAGCCTTGCTAAATTGCTGAGGCTGGCTATGAACTTGGGATCCTCCTGCCTCAGCCTTGGAGCTGCTGGGATTATAGGCATTGTGCCATTATGCCCAGCTTGGGATATTGATCTTTGGCTTTTCCCCACCTTCAGTACAAAGAGTATTTGACTAGCTTTGACAAATGGATCTTTCAATGAAAATGGTTTTTGGTGAATAAGAATTTGATAAAATGTTGCAGAATTCAGACATCTTATCCAAACCTCCTTTGCTCTAGGAAAGCAGTATAAGGTCATTAGGATTAGGTAGCCTGAATTCTATGCTGGCATGCTTCTTACTCTATGAGGCAAATTTCCAAATCTCTAGTTTCCCTGTAAAATGGGAACAATAATGCCACCTTTACAGGTGTAAGGATTAAATGATTCTAAGAATAACTTAAATGGCTTTCAAAAAAACTACAATTTACTTTGAAATGTGCAATTAAGTTTAGTTAAGCTATTCCTTACAGCTCATAAGCTGTCAATAAAGCACAGTTTACAAAGGAGAGACCCACACACAAACTGGAAATCCAGAAATGTTGATTTAATACACCAAATAATTCTGTTTTGTAAAAATTTAAATGCAAATAATTGGTTTTAGTTGTAGGAAAATACTTTTGCTTTTTTTTTTTTTTTTAAAAATCTCACTTTTGCCCACTGGATTCTGATTTTTGAGCATGATAGTTTTTTTTGTAAGAGTAACACCAACATTAACCATCCACTATTGCATTGGAAACTTTCAAGATGGGAACTGTGTGTACCACATAGATATAAATTTCATCATTTCTAGCACAGAGCCCCTGCCTTACCCAGTGACGGGTGAGTATTCCATTCTACCACCCTTTCTCTCCTTAAATGACTCTGAAATCTTCACCCATGGGGCCATTTTGCCTTTACATAGTTCAGAGATTTATTTATGTGTCCTTTCTCATACCTCAAGACTACTAAAGGAGTTGTTACCAATTTAGCCTTTATAAGACAAACGTGAGCACAAAATCATGGAATTCTAAGTTGAGATCATTTGGATGATCCCAAATTGGCTTGTAATGTTTTCACATTTATCACCAAATGGAAACATAAGGATATATCCTAAGCCCCTCAGAGGTTTGCTAACTGCTGTGTTTTTAGGCACATTGACCAACAAGTAGAGAAAAGGACAGACTGCATGTAATAGGCATTTGGTAAATGTTTTTATAAAAATTATTCCAAAACTATACCTTAAGGACAGAAACTTCCAACATTTAAACTTTTATCACTTTTTTTTTTTGTACTAGGGATTGAACCCAGGAACACTTTGCCACTGAGCTATATTCCCATCCTTTATTTTCTATTTTGAGACAGGGCCTCATTAAGTTATTGAGACGGGGTTGAACCTGTGATCCTCCTGCCTCAGTCTCCCAAGTCACTGGGATTATAGATATGTACTACCATGCCCATCTGAATTTAAATTTCAATTAGTTATCAATGATTTCATATTTCAAAATACTAGATTTCAGTGATTCTATGTTCCAAAAATTGAGAGATGGGGGGAAATGTTACTCCACTTGAATTGTGCCAAAGTTGAACCGGGATCTAAGTAACTAATAACTGTTGTGCCAGAGATGAGTAAAGTGATCACAGAATACAAAGTTAATGTAGCTCTTCTCACAGCCCTGCAGTCTCTATAAGAACCAGAAGGCCCTCAAGAAATTCCTTTTAAGACCTGCCACAGAAAGAAGGAAGAAGCTATGGACAGGACAGTCATTCTCACGATGGGCAAGTCTGGCCTCGTAGAGAACACAGGTTGACTTTGATCCATGCACAACCTAGAGAATAAAAATTACACTTGGGCATGATGGTGCATGCCTGTAATCCCAATGGTTGGAGGCTGAGGCAGGAGAATCACAAGTTCAAAGTCAGCCTCAGCAACTTCGTGAAGCCCTAAGCAATTTAGCAAGACCCTGTCTCAAAATGAAAAACAAAGGGTTGGGGATGTGGCTCAGTGATCAAGCACCCCTCAGTTCAATTCTTGGTAATAATAATAATAATAATAATAATAATAATAATAATAATAGTATTCAGAGTCCCTTTTGAAAGATTCAAATTCCAAAAGCTGAAGACTAATTAGACTCTGAAAGTGGGGAGGGATCCTGAATCCATTCATCCCACCTCCTCCATCAAGATGGACTTCTCATGGGAAAAGTACAAATATGAAAATTCCAATTTGGTTGTCAGGGAAAACCCTCTAGCATCTCTTCTCCTTTCTTCCCCTTCTCCCCCACCATCCCACATGGTTTGGGAATACAGGAGAAAGTCATTTGTGTTTGCTCAGAAAAATTGAAATGACATGGGACCTTCTCATTCCAGGCACAGCCAGGGGTCCAACCGTAAGGCAAAAAAACACATGCCAGGTCCTGGGAATGGCTTCCTGCCCATGGCCTGCCATGAAGCAGACTCTTCTTGTGGAGACCTTGGGTATCTGCTACAGATATGCCAGCCAGTTGATTTTGTAGGCTCACCTTTGAAATGCATGATGCAGATGAGGGCAGAGGAAACTGTGGGTGAGTGAACTGGGAAATATACAAATATATAAAATACAAGGGGTGATTCATACATTTTTGGACCTAGAAGAGACCTGAGGATACAGACAGCTCCTTCTCTAGTCTCACTCCAGCAAGGCACCTGGACTCAATATATTTGGGCAGTGCTCCACACCATGAACTCCTGTGAGAGTCATAATGTACACAGTACATTAAAGGCAATGAGAAACTTGGAGCAAATCGACCTGTTACCATGTATAGCAGAGTTGAATGGTGGCCCCAAAGCTAGGGCAACAGACCTAATCCCCAGAACCTGTATATATTACTTTACATGGCACAAGAGTGAGTTAGATGGGGTTAAAGACTCTTCGAGTCAGCTTTTTCACTGCTGTGACTAAAAGGACCCAACCAGAACAACTGTAGAGGAGGAAAGGTTTATTTAGGGGCTCAAGGTTTCAGAGGTCTTAGTCCATAGAAGGCTGGCTCCATTCCTCAGGGCTCGAGGTGAGGCAGGATATGAAGGAAGAGTATTGCAGAGAACAGTTCACATGATGATCAGAAAGCAGAGGCCCCTTGCCAGTTACAAAATATATACCCCATAGTCCTGCCCCTAATGAACCATTTCCTCCAGCCACAGCCCACCTGTCTTCAGTTACCAGTCAGTTAATCCCATCAGGGATTGATTCACTGATTGGGTTAAAGCTATAACCCAGTCATTTCTCCTCCAAACCTTCTTGCATTGCCTCACATGTGAGCTTTTGGGGGATACCATATCTAAACCATAACAAAGACCTTAAAAGTAGTAGTTTTTCCTGGATTATCAGAGTAGGGGAGGGAAATATTATTTCTCTGYATATCCTTTTATGGTTTAGGCCCCCATAGTAAATGATAAGTTAACAAGAAAAAGCCTTTAAATTGATTTAAGTTACGTATGACATGGGAACACTTAAACAGAAATGAAGATCCAAAGAAATGGTTATTTCCTGTGTATTTTGATGCTAGGTTTGCTGAAACAAGTATAGAGAAAAATAAATGGACAAAGGGCATGTTCTAATGGTATTAAACCAGGGAAAATTAGCAAGGTCTTTTCCTCAGATTCTCCTATGTTCCTGTGTCTTCAGAAAAGGATCCTCCCAGGGTGGGGCTGTGGCTCAGTGGTAGAGCGCTTACCTGGCACGTGAGGCACTGGGTTCAATCCTCAGCACCACATAAAAATAAAATATGTGTCCACCTACAACTAAAAAATACATATTTAAAAAATAAATTACTTTTTCCAGTTTTCTTTTTAAAAAAAGAAAAGAATATTCCTTATTTCCTTTTCTTTGGGTATAGGGAAGGCACCTCTCACACAGTCTTGGGATGTGCTTCAGAGGGAAGTCAGAAAGTCTTTCCTAGATTTTCAGGACCTGCTTCAGGGCAGAAGGACAGGTAGAGAGAACTTCCTGCTTCTGCTGCTCTTCAGTGTGTCAAGGAGGCATATTTTGGGGTAGCATATCCAGAACCCTAACACCAGATGGAGTCCGTATGCAATCACATGTAGCTTTATGAGGGAGATAGAGGACAGTTCAATGTTATACCACACACAGAAGAGAAGGTGATGTCAAGAGGGAGGCAGAGATGGGATGATGTGGCCACCAGCCAAGGAATGCTGACAGCCACCAGAAGCCACATGAGGTAAGGAACACCAGCAGGAGATGGCTCTGCCCTGGCAACACCTTGATTCAAACTCTGGCCTTCAAAACTATGACAGAATGAAATTCTATTATTTTAAGTCACCAAGTCTGTGGTCACTTGTTACAGCAGCCTCAGGGAACAAATACCCTTTTGTTTGATGCAAAGTTGACCAAACTTACAAATGTATTGTAACCTTTTTAGAGGACACTAGTTATCTATTCTGTAAACCCAAAGCTTTGTGGAATCTTCTCTGGGAAACACTTGGGATGAATTCTGAATGAATGACCCACAAACGGCATCACTGCGAGGAAATTTACAAGTCTGGAACCGTCCTTAGGATACTGGAGTTCGCAGAATGGCCTGCAATCTGGGCCATGCCATGTGCTTTCCTTTGGTTCTCTCAGAGAAGAATCCTGTCATTTCTTGCTGCTGCTTACCTCTAATCTATCCGTATTATTTTCTGTCTATAGATGTCATACTCAAAGCATGCTGTCATTTCCTACTAGGTCACRGAGATGTGCTTCTTGAATGTTTTCGTGATCTCTTCCTATATTGCCTTGGAGGGATTGGAGATTGTTTGGAGAGAGTCTTTTCTATCTCCAAAGAATATCAGGATGCGTAGAAACAGAAATTAGAGGGTCTCACATGGTTTGTTATTGCCTGTTAAATCCAGTGCTTAGCCTATGCTTAGATATTACCTACTTTGCTTTCAACTGTCTGCTGAAAGTGGCCACATAAAGGGAATTCATGATCCTAAACTCCAATGCTGTGTTGCTTTTCCAGGTAGGGATGTGACCCATGTATGGATCTTTGCCAAGGATTTCTGGATTACCTACTCAGTAACTTGTTCCTTTAAACACTATTCCATGGGCTCTGAGGGCAGAGATTTTGACCACTTTTTGAGCCTTCCCCCACACTCCATTCCAAACCCCATGGATTAATTCCATTAGAAATTGCCAAAGACATGGGGCACAGTGGTTTATGCCTGTAATCTCAGCAGCTCAAGGCGGAGGATCAGGAGTTCAAACCAGTCTCAGCAAYTTAGCAAGGCCCTAAGCAACTCATTGAGACCCTCTCTAAACAAAATATTTAAAAGGACTGGAAAGGCTTAATGGTAAAGTGCCCCTGGGTTCAATCCATGGTACCAAGGRAAAAAAAAAAARAGAGAAATTGCCAAAGACAATGTCTCTGGGGGACCCAGGTGGACAAGGAATTATGTAAATAGGTTAGAAAGTGTATCCTCAACACAGAGAAAACTGAATTGTCTCCAAACCAAGACTTTAAAGTAGAAAATTTAGATATCTTTTCTAAATTTTACATGGAAAAATGAAAAATGGGTCTATGGCCTCTGGCAATCCAGGGAGAAAATGACCCTAAGAAGAGGAAAAAACCACATCACTTGTTAAGGATAACACATTAGGGGTCCTTGCAAGGATTTTCCCAATTTTGTGGCTTAATGGATGGTGCTAAATGACAGGGCCAGGTTGGGCTTGGAAGGGTTTGTGTCAGGTCACACTCCACTTGTAAGTAGTAGAAAACCCAATTTAAACTGGATTAACTAGTAGGGAAATTTGTAGTCTGACATTGTGACAGTGCTGATGTCGAATGAGTCGAGGTTGAGTTCATTCCACCCATCACCCTCAGCCTGACAGCAAGATCACAYGGCCATTCCAGGTGCCATGGCCACACACAGCTGCCGCAGCAGGAGGAAGGAGAGAGACTGCCCCTTGTGGAAGGGCTGTGTAGATGAAGATCCACCTCTCCAAAGCCCTCCCCTGCCGCCCCAGCTGACTTCCCAAGGGTTTCTATGGCCAAAGTTATTTTCTCCTGAATCAATCACTGTCAGAGACCAAAAGGCCAATACTTTTGGGATCCATCAGTTATTAAAATTTGAAAAGGAAAAAAATTGTGTAAATTAAAAAGGAAAAAAAAGTGTGTGTGTTCATGCTAATAGAGTTGCTAACTTTTTGTCAAAGTATGAAAAAGGGCTCATTTATTATTATTACTGTTTCATTGGAAAGGATCTCTTTTCTCTCTCTCTCTCTCTCACACACACACACACACACACACACACACACACACACACACTGACTGCCTATTATGTGGTCAGTACTATTCTAGGCCAGAATATAACAGTGACATAATTAACAAAAATCCTTGCCCTCATGCTTGAATTCTAAGTATAGGGTAATAGATTAAGAAAATTGTGGGGCATGGTGGTGCACACCTGAAATCCCAGCAGCTCGCGCCGCYGAGGCAGGGGGATCACAAGTTCAAAGCCAGCCTCAGCAACTTAGCAAGACCCTAAGCAACTCAGTGAGACCCTGTCTCTAAATAAAATACAAAATGGGCTGTGGCTCAGTGGTTGAGTGCCCCTGAGTTCAATCCCTGGTACCACCCGCATCCCCCACCCCCCCCAAAAAAAGAAAGTAGTGCTATAGGGAAAAAAAATAAGGCCAGGGAGAGGGGACAGGAGTGGGTAGGGCAGGAAGCCCTGGCCAAAGGTGGYGGGAAGCACACCAATGTCTCTAAGGAAGGGGATACCCTGGTGCACACACATACCCAATACATTTTCTCATGTTTCTCATTGTACCGCACCCTGGGGAAATCTCTGTGACCCAACATTTGGAAACTTCTGCCCTGTGCTCTCCTAGCTTCACAGAGGTTAGAGRTGGCTAGGATTTCAGGTATGCACCACCACGCTCAGCTTCTCTTCCATCTTTAAGGACATCAAAGCTTACTTGGAGCTTGGGTATTTCAGGTTAATTATCTTAAATCCAGTTGATGATCAACCTTAATTCCATTTACAACCTTAATTCCCTTTTGCCACATAATTTAACATACTCATAGATTCCAATGATTAGGAGTAGACTTTTCTTTTTGTGGTACTGGGTATTGAACCCAGAGGCACTTAACCACTGAGCCACATCCCCAACCCTTTTTAATATTTTTATTTAGACAAAGGGTCTTGCTGGGTTGCTAAGGGCCTTCTAAGTTGCTAAGTGGCTTTGAACTTGTGATCTCCTGTCTCAGCCTCCCGAGCTGCTGGGATTACAGGCATGTGCCACTGTGCCGGGCTAGGAGTGGACATTTTTAAGGGACTGTTATTCTGCCTACCATACCATGTCACCAGAATTGTGCTCAATACATGAAGAGCTGCAGAAAAGAGAGCTGACATTTATTCACCACATGTCAGACAGTGTTGGGTACTTTACGGGTTATCTTATTTAATGCCCCAACATTCAATCCCTAATATATAGTGAGAGGTTTGGTGACCACAGAACTCAGTCCATGTGTCCTCTAGTCCATGTTGCCCCATGTTACCCTTTACCCCCTCCTAAATAGGCTGTGAGACTTTAAAATATAGTGTATGTGGGAGTGAGGGACAAAAGCACAGTAAGAAGACACCTTCTGAACCTAGGGGTCCGTGGAGTCCTAGCATCTGGTGAGCTCATGTCCGCTGAGGGGATGCCTGGGGGCCACTTCCTGCTTCCCTGCAGGAGACATTCCCTGACATGTCTAAGGCTCCTGCCAAGAGTCAGGCCTGCACCAGCCTCTGTGCTGTCCTCGCTCTCTCCCCATGAGGTGGGTGCTGCAGTCTGTTTTATCAGATGAGGAAACCGAGGCTGAGTCATAACTAACCTAAGATCACATCACAAGGTGGTAGTGGTAAAGGCACTGGCCCAGTTGCTTGATGGCCAAGCCAATGCTCATTGCACTGCATTCAACAGAAGATGCCAGTAAAGATGTGGGGCATGAATGAACCTGGTTCTTTCCGAAGATTCCAAAATCCCTGCTTCTCGTCACCAAGCTCCACTCCTGTTGCCCACAGGGATTATTTTCTGTCTCAAGGCCTTCTTCAGAAGCTTATCTTTCTGCCTTCCCTGGAGACTCTTCATTTAATTTGCCCAAGAAAACACCTTCCYGCTCTCTCAGCTTGTGTCTCCTAATACCCATTCCACCGTGTCCCCAGAAAAGAGACACACGGCGGAAATTGGTTTCTGGAGTTTATTATCCTGTGGCTACAAGTAAATGCACTTCTGACTGACAGAATGTCAGGTGGGTAATCTTGAGCCAAAATATTTGCTATGATTTGAGAGGATGTGATTTTCCAAGTTTACTCCAAGTGAGTAAACTTGAGTTTCACTGATCTCTGGATATATACAGGCTCACATGAAAAGCAGTGAGCAAAATTCACTTCTCGCTCCTCTTGTTCTCTAGGACCTAGCCATTCTGCAAAGTCTCTGAAATTTTACGGAGTCCCCGGAGTGTGTCTCACAAATTATTCTGGCCAGGTGCTACTCTGTCACTATAGGGTCCTGGTTTTGGTTTCTGTTTTAGATACTCGTCTCTCATTATTGTCCCTTTCTTGCCTGGAACACATTTTCCAATCATTTATTTTTGCACTGGGATCACTTGCAGGGGACATTTAAGACCCCTCTTCATWAATACCATAGTCTATAATGTTGTAGAAAGTGGTTCTCAACTGGACAGCTTCCCTACCAGCAACCCCCACTCCAGGACATTTGTTGATGGCTAGAGAGACATTCAGGGTTGTCATGAATGGAGTGGGGGATAATGATACTATTGGCATCCAGTACATAGAGACCAAGGGTGCTATTGAAGAGCCCCCATGTTTAGGACAGCTCCCATAACAAAGAATTATGTTCCCAAATGTCAATAGTTCTGTACTTCAGTGGAATATTACTTAGCCATAAAGAAGAATGAAATTATAACATTTGCTGGTAAATGGATGAAACTGGAGACTATCATCCTAAGGCCAAATGTTCTGATAATATGGATGCTAAAACAAAATAAGAGGTGGGAGAATAGACGTACTTTGGATTAGACAAAGGGGAATAAAGGGAGGGAGAATGGGAATATGAAAGACAGTAGAATAATCAGACATAACTTTCTTAAGTTCATATATGAATACACAACCAGTGTAACTCCACATCATGTACAACCACAAGATTGGGAAGTTATACTCCATGTATATATGGTATGTCAAAATACATTCTACTGTCACTTATAACGAAAAAGAACAAATTAAAAAAATTTTAAATAGTTCTGTGCTTAAGAAACCCTGCTCTAGAGTTGGGGTTATATTGTAAAGAAGGAAAGAACTTTCTCTCTCCCTTTTTGGGTTTTGCTGTAATCCTAGAGGGGGCCCCACATCTCGGACAATGTTTTAGCACACAGGTTTTGAGGTCTTACTATGCACCCCACTTCTCTCCATGGGGTGAAATTGTGAATGGAAGACAGATCTGAAGGACAAATGCTGATTCTCTTTAAAATGCTCCTCCCCTCCCTCCAGCCGCTGAGGCTGCCCCTCTCCCTTCCTGGGGGTGGCTTGCTGGGCTCAGCTCCTTTTCTTTCCCCTAGTGTTTTATTTTCAGGAGGCTCTTTCGTCCCTAATGCAAACACCCTGCTGGCACCCACGAGTTTGTCCTGACATGTCTGAACTCCACATCAGATCCCAGATTAAGTACAAACGATAGAGATTGATGTCCAAGTGGTACAGAAATTACGTAAGTACTTGAAAGGTGGGTTCGTGGTTTATACTGTGTCAGGACTTTTGGTGGCAAGTAATAAACACATCACATCCCCAAACTAAAACCCTTCTGAAAAAGAGAATGGGTTGGGGACTGTCTTGGCTCAGGTAACAGGAAGACCAAGAGTAGAGATGCCCTCAAGAGAGGCTAGATTTGGAGCTGGGATTGTGGCTTAGTGGTAGTGCGCTCACCTAGTATGGGCAGGACCTGGGTTTGATCCTCAGCACCACATAAAAATAAAGGCATTGTGTTGTGTTCATCTACACTTAAAAAATAAATATAAAAAAAAAAGAGGCTAGATTTAAGGCTCAAGTGATGTCACGCTCCATGTCTCCCTCTTCCATTCCTCAAGCCCCTTCTGAAAAATACTGGCTTCCTTCTTAAGAGGCCTAACCTCTTAAGAGGCCTAACCATGCAGAGACTATTGCCACAATCCCACCTCACAAATCCCAGATTCAAGTTCAATGGGACAGTAAGCCTCTTTCCGAATAGCTACTGCAACAGTCATGAGATTTACTGACTCAGGTCATGTGATGCCTTTGAATCAATCACAGTCCAGAAGAATGCCAAGTGGTCATTAGTTTTGCCCTTAGTCACATGCTCCGACCCAGCCCACATGGTCTGAAATGGGTGAGTGGGGTTACCGAGGAAAAGGTAATGCTGAAGGACAAGCCCACTGCATATGGTTTAGATCTTAGGTTCTGTTTAATGGGCTATGGGATGATATTGGGTAGGTCAGGAATGGGATATCTAATGAATGATGTCTCTTTTTTAAAAAAGGAGACAGCAGGGATAATTTTGTGTTTAAGAAAGTCAGAATGCATGTTGTGGGGAACAGGAGGCTGAGAAATGTAGAGATTTCTAAAGAAATTTCTGGAAGAAATATGTCTACATGTTCCCCACAATTAGGCACACCTTCTTCTCAACCTTTCAACATCTAAAGGTTCAAATACTTAGATTTTTGCTTGATACTATGTCAAGATGTATTCAACATGTATATTTTTTATATATTATTTATTGATGTTTTAGATTTTAACTAAAATTGCCTGTGGAATCAATCACATCTTTGTAAAACAAGCAACTTCCTAAAACAATGTCCCACAATTTTTTTTTAAATGTCAGAAGTACTTTTTAAGTAATTTTTTTTTTCTCCACTAGACTTCGAAGTACATTTTTCAACTTTTTTTTTTTTTTTGGGCGCAGTGCTGGGACTGAACCCAGCACCTTGTACATGCTTAGGCAAGAGCTGCCAGTGAGCTACATCCCCAGCCACCATACTATTTTCAAACATAATTTTTAAATGAAAACCTATTTTTAAGAAAAAATTTGCCCTTGTATTGGTCTCTCAGTTCAGTAGCAAGGATTAAATAAAGCAATTAATTCAGTGCCTGACATGTAGGACTCCCTATAAGTAAATCTCCTTTCTTCTTCWGTTTTGGAAGATTTAAAATTTCTCAAATAGAATATTCACTCCATTTTTTAGACAGGGTGATTTTCATGCTTGCCAAAAGGTTATAAGATATAAACCTAAGACACAGGGGTTTGGGTTTTGTTTTTTTGTTTTTGTTTTTGTTTCTTTTTTGTTTTTTTGTAAGTTGGTTTGTTTTAGTGCTGGAGATTGAACCCAAGGACACTTTACCACTGAGTCACCTCCCAAGTCCTTTTTTTATTTTTTATTTTGAGAAGGATCTCACTAAGTTACCCAGGTTGGCCTCAAAGTTGTGACCCTCCTGTCTGAGCCTCCTGGGTCACTGGGATTCTGGGTGAGCTTCACTCTGCCTGACTAGTTTCATCTTAAATAAAGCATTTTGATCTTAAAATATCTGTTAGCAACTAAAATAATGGAAAATGCATTAGGAAACAAATTATGAGAATTTGTAAACATCATTGCATTTTCTACGCTTTGAGAGAATATAAATGGGATCAAAACCTGAAATGCCAGAGCTCCCCCAAGACCTTTCTTGCCAGGTTAGGAGAGGTGGCTAGACAAAGTGATACTTTTTCTGAGGGAATCGGGGCATTGGGAACAAACAAAAATAATTGTTTAGAGGTCAGTTGTGTGATATTGACTGCAAGTGGCAGATGTGCTGAGCAAGACACTGATTCTTGGCTATCCTGGTCAGGCTGGAAAGGTGAAGGAGACAAGACGAATTTTGTGGGTAGGGCAATAACCTGGAGGTGGGCTGGCCCTAATGAGGTACTTAAGGACACCAGCCTGAGTGGCAGGTAAGGCTTTTAATTAGAACCAAGCCTGTATAATCACCGTAAGAGGGAGCACTTGCAAGCCAGGAGGTGGTGCTTAAATCTGAGGCAAAGAGGCAATATGGTGTGAGGAAAAAAAGCCAGCTTTTTGGAAGAGTCAACCTTGACTCTGATCAGGATGTACTGGGCAGTGGAGAGAGATTGGAGTCAGGATGGCAGCTAGAGATAACACAGCAATCTGGAGGTGAGGTGACCTGGACCCTTTCAGTGGGGGGCACAAAGTACACAGGGGTCAGGCTCAGACTTGATATAGAGAATGGGGGAGTGAAAACTCAGTTTGTTATCAGAGACTATGAAATAGGTGACACGGTTGGCAGAGATGGCAGTCAGGAAGGGGAACTGGCCTGAAGAGGAGAAATGTGACTGGTTTGGACATGTGGAGTCTGGAGTTCCCCGAGAGGCCTCTGGCTAGTTCTGTCGGGCTATCCACATCACTTCCTGAATCTCGCCCCTAAATCTCTTGAATCCAGCCTGTTCAGCTCCACCCCTCCCCTTGTTAGAATGGAWGGCCTCATCATCTCTTGCCTCTACTCTTGAGATAGCCCTAGCTAATTTCCCTTTCTCTTGTCTTATCCCTTTTAATCCCTCCTCCTTCCTTTCTGTCTTCAGTCTTTTCTCTCATGTTTCATTATGCCCATAGTTTTGTTTTCCTGGTTATATTATTACTTTGGCATTTATATAGGGATAAAGTATTGCACTGGATTAAAGAGTAATGGTTATTAAAGTAATGGTTATTAAAGAGTAATGTGTATCCTTGAGAGCATGGAATCATCTTTCCTTTAATCTAATGCCACTCTGAGACTGGACCACCACTTGATTTGTAAGGATTGCACCAATTTGTATTTTCAACTCTCTCACTAGATGGGAATAACTGGAGGGTGAAGATGCTAACTATGTCTCCATGAAACATCTGGAGTGTGCAGAGTTTCAGCAAATACTGGTTGGGATGAACTAATAGGAGCAGAGAGTTAGGTATCAGATTTGAGAAAAAATACTGAAGATGGATAATGGTTTCTGAGAGAACATGTTAGAACAAAAAGCAGAGAAAAAAATTCAAAAGGTGACTGTTTTTCTCTTAGTGATGCATTAGCCCTTTGTGATTTTTTTTAAAAAAATATATTTTTTTAGTTGTTGATAGACCTTTATTTTATTTATATGTGGCCGAGAATTGAACCCAGTGCCTCACACATGCCAGGCAAGGGTGCTACTGCTGAGCCACAGCCCCAGTGAACACTGTGTGATTTTGGGTGGACAAATTATAAAGTTTTGGGTTGTGGTGTGGAGTCTGGATAGAGCAGTCCTAGTATTGCACTTAAGCTCCTGCATGACTTTGAGGTTTTCCAGAGGGCTGCCTGCCTACTTGTACACCCCTGAGGTCTGATCCACATATTCTGAATGGTAGCCTTGAAGAAATATCAGTTTTGCTGTTRTTGATACTGAAGAAAAACTGCCTTAGAGGAAAAACCCTAGGAGAGATTTTGATTTCTCTCAGTCCATGAATCCCCCGATTCTATTATGCCAGAGCCAGCAGAAATTCTGTTTCATAATGGAGTCTGTGCAGTTAAGGTGGGGTCAGATCACAGTTGTTGATTGTGTGAATGATCATGATGTCTAAATACTGCCATTGGGAAAGATAACCACTTCCATGAATATCAAGATTGATAATATAATGATAATTTATTTAATCCCAGACCTTTACAGGAATTTGTCAAAAGGGAAAGAGCTTGAACTCAATTTCTTAGAAAAGTAGTCTAAACCGCCTTTAACTCTATCCCAGGAAAGCCAAAGCAGAGGAACTGGGAAATCAAGAGTCAATTACTGCATATCAGAAATGCAAAATCAAGTCAGTCCAAGTGGAGTTTTTATTTTATGTGGCCAATAAAAAGCCCAAAGCACCACTATCTTATGTGACTTCCACAGAAGAGATTTTGGATATCACCATCCACTTAYGCATTACTAGACAGCTATACAGGAGTAGGTTGTTAAACATCATCCATTCACTCAGACCAAGTCCTTTTGAAATTGTTATTGCAAACCTTTTTACAGTGTGGTWACAGATGATTAGCCTAATTAATTTACTATTGTTCTGAAGTCTCCCTCTTTTTTCCTAACTATTTAATTGCACTCATCAGGTGAGATTTTTGGCAAAAGCCACCCTCCCAAATGTTTCACTTTGTCTTCTGAGAGTGGTTTCCAATTTGAAAATCCAACTGGGAAGATAATATCTTAAAAAAAAAAAAAAAGAAAAAGCCTTCAAAGGGGTAAAGGAAACTCCAGAARGTGATGAACCCCAAGGCCAGGCTCCCCTGGCTGGACTCCCTGGCTCCATGCTTGAACTCTTCAAATGGATTCTCCACAGTATTCCAAAACAGTGTTCAAACTTAACAAGGAACTATAGCCACCCATAATTTGRCCTCTGTCTTTCTTTGGTCTGTCTTGTGCTTCACCAATAGCAATATCTCCYAGACTTCTTCAAATCCCAAATACCACCTCCAGAGGGCAAGGACTGAGCCTTTCTCTCACCTCTGGCATYTCAGAGAGGCACAGTATATACCTGGTGCAGAACTACAAGACGTACCCCATCATAGGCTTTCCTTTTGCTCTGTTCATTTTTCTTCACTGTGACAAAGACCCAGTAGGTAGCCAAGCCCAAACTGTCCTTTCTAAAGAAGGTAGGACACCCAAAAACCTTATGAACATGATGCACCATTTTTTATCCCTGTCATAAATCACATCTTAGCCCTCTGATCACATGCAATAAGCAGACCCTGATATAATAGCAATCTGTCCTGTCAATCAGCGTCTCTCACTTCAGATTAGCCTTGCACTTCCCAGTTGTTTCCCTGGGGCCCCTTAGTCTCCAGGCCTAAATCCCTTTCAGTGTTGCTATCTACTGAATAGGTAGGAAACAAAATTATAGCCTTAGCAAAGTTAACTTTTGGTGATATTCTCTTGGCCCAACTCTTTTCTCCATGTTCTTCCTTTGCTCTCAGAAAAGAATCTGAAATCAAATGTTGGCATGTCATTGTGCCTGGGGGTGAGAAGGTGTGAAATTAACTCTGACTATGTGCCAGCTCACCCACTCTTTTCTTTGATGTGGATATCATGATTCTCATTTTATATTCAAGAAAATTGAGGCTTAGTGATGTTAAGTAGTAGGGCAGTGGATGGGAACAAGATGTCTTCAGAGTAGTATAAATCTTGGTTTTGAGTTCTGGCTCCACCACTGGCTGATTGTCTAAGGAAGTTATTTAGCCTCTCTGAACCACTGTATTTCAGTTTGTGAGAGGGGAGTGCAAACTGGAGGACTGTACCGGCAATCTTCAGGTTCTTCCTAAAGTCCCGAGGGGCCGAGTTTACCTATAGGTTTGTGCCACAGAATGGTACCCATTTGCATAGATACTGCATGCAGCAGAGCATTACACACTTGGTAGACAGACACCWGGTAGATATTCTTTCTTTGGAAAGGTCACACAGCTTGCAAAAGGCAGACCTGGGGTTTGACTCCCACCCTACTGAAGCACACCCATCCTAGCACCATCAGCCCATCGCCAAGGCACCGGTTAAATGAACATGAATTTAAGTCACAGGAACTTAAGGATGATCCCAAGAGGATCATCATCAAAATGGGGTCAAATTCAGTTACATGGCAATGATGGGGGTAGGGGGTTCACAACTCGAATGCTGCTCTATCTAACAAGAAAAATATCACACAGGAAGGAGCTTTCCTTTTGGCATGCAACAAAACTTCTTTGAAATTTTTGTTTTAAATCAACCAAGCAGATACTTTCCACAAATCTCTCCTCCCTTTCTCCCTAATAACCACTCTTTTGCGCCAGCCCTTCTCCACCCAAATACTTTTGAATACACCCATTTAATGCCTGTCTTTTCTTTAGCTTCCTTTCCACTGGTTAATTACCTTGGTTTTTTTCAACCCAGAGGTAAGCAACAGGATCATTCTAACAAAAATCCCAGGCCTTTAAAAGAYTGGGGGAGGTAGAGTGGCAGGACATACAATATAATGTAATATTATTTAGTTTCTGGCATGGAAGAATGTGACTATGTTAGAGTGTTCCCTCTCAACCCAAATGCAAGCTGTGAGGTCATTTTAACAAACAAAACCCCTCTGCCCTAAAAGACTAGAAGATGGAGTGGGGCAAATTTAATTTACCATATCCCCCCTCCTGGAGCTAACAAAATTTTAACCTTAGTGCTAATCACAATAGGAGAGTCTGTTCCCTGGTGTCAGCCTTTCTTATTATAACAAAATACTCCAGACTGGGTAATTTATAAAAGACAGAAATTCTCACAGTTCTAGAGGCTGAGGCCAAGATCAAGGCATTGGTGGAAACCCATTCCCCATGGAAAGAGCCTTCTGTATCCTCCTATGGTGGAGGTGACAGAAGGGCAAAAAGGGAAGGAATGTTGTATTCTTACTTGATGGAAGAGTAGCAGAGCAGAGCAGGCCAGAGCTGGCTCCTTTTTGAGGCAYTAATTCATTCATGAGAGTGGCTCCCTCATGATTTAGTTACTTCCCCAAAGGCCTCAGCTCTTACTACCGTCATGGGGATTAAGTTTCAGCATGAATGTTGGAGGAACACAAACATTCAAACCATRGCACCTGGGGAAGGAATTTCAACCATCAGGGAAAAGGAGGGAGCAGTTTTGAGGGTGGGGCCCCTTTCTGTTTGGCATGAAGTCGGCCCCATAGGCCTTCCAGCCCCAGGATCAAAGGTTCAGGGGTCAGCACCTGGCTGGAGCTCCATATCAAAGCTACCCTAACCTAACCCTACCACTGACCCTTTCCAGTAACCATTCGGCCACCTGTGGCAAGAAGGACACAATTCTTGTCGCTTCTACCCCAGGCAGTATCCCAGGTCTGTCACCAGCCCTCCTGCCTGCTGGATTCAGGGTCCTCTTTACTAAGCTGAGGTCATTGGAGAACTGCTTTAACTGCTCTGACCTTCATGAGAAGCTATTCTGCCTTTCTGTGGCACAAACCTATGGGTAAACTCGGCCCCTCGGGACTTTAGGAAGAACCTGGAGAAGATTGCCGGTACAGTCCTCCAGTTTGCACTCAGCTTTGAGGGAATCTTACAGATTCCAGCCTCGATGGGGAGCCTGTGGGGAATCAGGGCAAGCTGAAGAGGAAGGTGGGGTGAGTGTCTGGAGGCCTGTGACAGGACTCCACTAGTGTGACCACACTGGGTACCAAGCTGCTCCTCTTGCTCCCAGCCCTCCACTGCAATCATGGTTCATGATATAACCGCTTCCCTGGGAATCTTAGCTGTTTGGTACATCAAGAGGGGGAAAACCCACTTTAACACCTAGAGGTCCATGTGGCAACTTCTTCCTGCACAGATTACATTCTGRCAGCCTGCTCCACCGTTCAAGACTCCATAGACATTTCCTAAGTGCCCAAAGTACACCAGACATGAAAATAAAGGTGACAGGCATGGTCTTTTGTCTTCAGGGAGCTCCTGGCTACTGGGCAGTGATAAATGCTCCAAAGAAGGATAGCACTGTGGAGAGAACAGGGGAGCCTGGCCTGATGTGGGGGAAGATGTGGGAAGCCCCTCTCAGAAGCCGTGTTGCCGTTGAGATAGAAAATTAGCCAGGCCGTGGGAGCAGAAGAGAAAGTGCTGTAAAGGCTCTGGGTGCCCCAGGGGTGGAGTACAGAGGGCAGGGGAGAGCATAAACCCAAGGCCAGAAGCAGCGAGAGCGCCTTCAAAGCATGAAGTACTTGGGTCTGTATCCTCACACATTGAGAAGTTGGGGAAGAGGTGGGCCCATGTCAGATTCTAAAAGATTGCTCTAACTGCCCAGTGGAGAATGGAATCCACAGA